GACATCTGATTTGTGTCCATTTATTCTTTTACGTAGAGACTGTCCAGTTTGACCAATGTACATGGCAGAGGGGCATTGCTGGCACATGATGGCATATATCACATTGGTGGATGTGCAGGTGAACGAGCCTCTGATAGTGTGGCTGTTGTTATTAGGCCCTGTGATGGTGTCCCCTGAATAGATATGTGGGCACAATTGGCAACGGGCTTTGTTGCAAGGATAAGTTCCTGGGTTAGTGGTTCTGTTGTGTGGTATGTGGTTGTTGGTGAGTATTTGCTTCAGGTTGCGGGGCTGTCTGTAGGCAAGGACTGGCCTGTCTCCCAAGACTTGTGAGAGTGTTGGGTCATCCTTTAGGATAGGTTGTAGATCCTTAATAATGCGTTGGAGGGGTTTTAGTTGGGGGCTGAAGGTGACGGCTAGTGGCGTTCTGTTATTTTCTTTGTTAGGCCTGTCCTGTTCCGACCTATTCATATGAATATGAACAAGAGGCTGCTCGGCAGCTCTCCAACACGAGTTTCTACAAGCCATTACCCTATGATCCCACTGAGAGTTACCAAAAGCAACTACAGCATTTGCTCAAGAAACTTCCTGAAAAAGCACAAGATCAAATCCGCACAGACACACCCCTGGAACCCCGACCTGGGATATTCTATCTACTACCCAAGATCCATAAACCTGGAAATCCTGGGCGCCCTGACAGCAGGATTGTCTGGCTATGTAGACTCCCTCCTCAGACCCTACGCTACCAGCACTCCCAGCTACCTTCGAGACACCACTGACTTCCTGAGGAAACTTCAATCCATCGGTGATCTTCCTGATAACACCATCCTGGCTACTATGGATGTAGAAGCCCTCTACACCAACATTCCACACAAAGATGGACTACAAGCCGTCAAGAACACTATCCCCGATAATGTCACGGCTAACCTGGTGGCTGAACTTTGTGACTTTGTCCTTACCCATAACTATTTTACATTTGGGGACAATGTATACCTTCAGATCAGCGGCACTGCTATGGGTACCCGCATGGCCCCACAGTATGCCAACATTTTTATGGCTGATTTAGAACAACGCTTCCTCAGCTCTCGTCCCCTAAAGCCCCTACTCTACTTGCGCTATATTGATGACATCTTCATCATCTGGACCCATGGAAAAGAAGCCCTTGAGGAATTCCACCATGATTTCAACAATTTCCATCCCACCACCAACCTCAGCCTGGTCCAGTCCACACAAGAGATCCACTTCCTGGACACTACAGTGCTAATAAACAATGGCCACATAAACACCACCCTATACCGGAAACCTACTGACCGCTATTCCTACCTGCATGCCTCCAGCTTTCACCCTGACCACACCACACGATCCATCGTCTACAGCCAAGCTCTGCGATACAACTGCATTTGCTCCAACCCCTCAGACAGAGACAAACACCTACAAGATCTCTGTCAAGCTTTCTTACAACTACAATACCCACCTGCAGAAGTAAAGAAACAGATTGATAGAGCCAGAAGAGTTCCCAGAAGTTACCTACTACAGGACAGGCCTAACAAAGAAAATAACAGAACGCCACTAGCGGTCACCTTCAGCCCCCAACTAAAACCCCTTCAACGCATTATTAAGGATCTACAACCTATCCTAAAGGATGACCCAACACTCTCACAAGTCTTGGGAGACAGGCCAGTCCTTGCCTACAGACAGCCCCGCAACCTGAAGCAAATACTCACCAACAACCACATACCACACAACAGAACCACTAACCCAGGAACTTATCCTTGCAACAAAGCCCGTTGCCAATTGTGCCCACATATCTATTCAGGGGACACCATCACAGGGCCTAATAACATCAGCCACACTATCAGAGGCTCGTTCACCTGCACATCCACCAATGTGATATATGCCATCATGTGCCAGCAATGCCCCTCTGCCATGTACATTGGTCAAACTGGACAGTCTCTACGTAAAAGAATAAATGGACACAAATCAGATGTCAAGAATTATAACATTCATAAACCAGTCGGAGAACACTTCAATCTCTCTGGTCACGCAATCACAGACATGAAGGTCGCTATCTTAAAACAAAAAAACTTCAAATCCAGACTCCAGCGAGAAACTGCTGAATTGGAATTCATTTGCAAATTGGATACTATTAATTTAGGCTTAAATAGAGACTGGGAGTGGCTAAGTCATTATGCAAGGTAGCCTGTTTCCTCTTGTTTTTTCCTACCCCCCCCCCCCCCCCAGATGTTCTGGTTTAACTTGGATTTAAACTTGGAGAGTGGTCAGTTTAGATGAGCTATTACCAGCAGGAGAGTGAGTTTGTGTGTGTATGGGGGTGGGGGGGATGTGAGAAAACCTGGATTTATGCAGGAAATAGCCCGACTTGATTATGTAAAGAGTTGTCACTTTGGATGGGCTAGCACCAGCAGGAGAGTGAATTTGTGTGGGGGGGTGGAGGGTGAGAAAACCTGGATTTGTGCTGGAAATGGCCCACCTGATGATCACTTTAGATAAGCTATTACCAGCAGGACAGTGGGGTGGGAGGAGGTATTGTTTCATGATCTCTGTGTGTATATAAAGTCTGCTGCAGTTTCCACGGTATACATCCGATGAAGTGAGCTGTAGCTCACGAAAGCTCATGCTCAAATAAATTGGTTAGTCTCTAAGGTGCTACAAGTACTCCTTTTCTTTTTGCGAATACAGACTAACACGGCTGTTACTCTGAAACCTAGTAAAAGAAGCTATGCTTAGGGTCATGCTTGAAGTGAAACTAGAATGTGTAAGCCATATTTTCAAGAGGGTCTGAAACTGTCTTGAAAATTTACAACTTGTCCTTGTTCACACATTTCTGTGTGGATTGCCCACCTTTGTATGTGACAGTTAAGTCACCAGGGAGCTACCAAAACGTGTCTGCCAAGGAGGGTTTGTTGCCTATTAGTTTGTGTGGAGTTTGGATTCTCAAATATTTGGGCTGTATAGCTAATGTACAGTATCGTTGCCCACCACCTATGTAGGGCAAGCAGCTCTGAGTGCAACATCTGTGCTCAAGTCTTTGTATTAGCTACCCATTTAATTTTCTTTTGACACCCTTTGTAGGCCAGAATGTTTGATGGTGCAAGAGACTGTGACTGTAGATTCTTCATCCCCAGGAGGCAACTGTTGGCTGCTTCCTGATTGGTCAACCCATTGAAAGGCTGTGCTCTCGGTTTTCCCTCTTGATGTGAGATCAGTAATGAGAGGCAGAGGGAGACCTTGATTTTTTTTTTTTTTTTTTTTTTTTGGTGTTTTGAAGAGCAGGGAGAAGAAAAGATTTCAGAAAACAAGGCTATTAAGTTTTTTTTAACCCACTTTACCAAAATTTTACACTACTTATTACTATTTTCTACAGAAATTAACTTGAGAAATCCACTGCACTAAATATATAGTGCTATAGAACATTATACCAAATGTCATTAACTAGAAGTAGTTACGTTATTTCCCTGACATATCACTAGAAGTGTACTATGCTTGGGACTTGTCTACACTAGGCAGTTTACTTTCCTTGAGTTAATTGATTGCCAAAGTCATCTAGTGTAAGTATAACCTGTGACTTTTCATTAGGAAAAAGATGGATCAATCTCATGGTAATGAATACCTGGTAAAATCCTAGTGTGGACAAGGCAGCTTGTAATTTTTACATATATTAGCAGACCTAGATAAATACAAGCGGCATCCTACAGTTTTTGACCTGCTAATGTGTGAAAACTACAAGTTGCACTGTTTATACTAGGATGCTAATATGAGGTAAACCACCAATTATGTGAATTAAAACAACTTACTTAATGCAGTGGGTGTAAATGTGGTTTATAGTTTAGGCCATGTCTGCACCATGGAACTACAGCAGCATAGCTATGGTGCCATAACTATGCCAGTATAAGCTCATAGTGTAGAAGCAGCTACCCTTTAAATTGTAAAGGGTTTTTCAGTCACTGTAGGAACACCACCTCTGCGAGCAATAGTAGCTAGGTCCAGCAAAATCTCCCAGGGGAGATGGAGTTTATATTGACAAGAGGGTAGCTTATACTAGCTCTCTGAATAAAATCAGCTATTCCTGCAAAATAACTCTTTGCCTGCATCTGCACTAGATCTTTTACTTGCATGGCTAGGCTGGTCACAAATGTGGGTGTGCTCCTCCCCTGTTCCATGCTAACATACATGGGTTATGCTGACAAAATTTGTGTAGACCGGGCCTAGCTGGTGGTTCTGCTTTAACTATATCTGTTTTGAAACAAGGCAAGCCCAACAGATTAGTGAAAGTTACATTTCATACTAGACTGCTCAGTGCTGTGTGTGCTCTTATGTGTTCTGATTTGACTAATAATGATAAGAACACTTTCTTGCTATATGTGGAATAAATAGTAACTTCAGATGGTAACCTGTTGTACACTTATCTGAAGGTAAAACCCATATGTTTTCAACTGAAGGTGTTTAAATTGATTTGAAATGTCTTATGTTCACATCGACATTCATGATTTCTTGGAAACTGTTACTGTGAAACTTTTTCTTAGTTTACAAAGGGGAATTCTCTTAACACTAATGTTATGACAGTGACAAAGTAAATTAAGAATATAAACTTCTACTCTATCTAGATTAACCTGTAGCTATGTCATAGTTTCTAAGCATATGGTATCTCTGCAGACTTGGTAATGTTTAATAAATAGCTTGATTTCTGAATTTATGGGCAGTGTTTAAATGCTTTCATGTAATAAAGTTTAGAAGTCAAATTTAATTGGAAATTAGAGACTATGCATAGGCTGAAAGATGTCTGTTACTCACTGAATTTTATAGTCTCCTTTGCTAGGAATGCAAAATCCTTCTGTATCAGCAAAGTAGAAAGTCCTCATATGAAGAATTGTTACTCTGGATACATTTTCAAACTTCTTACTCGGTAGCCAAGTAAAGCAAGTGATTAGTTTTCTGCTGATGAATCTAAGCTGTTTGCAATGTTTGTTCAATCTTTTAAGGTGGAGAAGAGAGGTGGTAGATGGCAACTGGAGGCAGCTTTGGAGTGTGGGACATTCTTCTGCTTCCAGTGGCTGACAGGTCTGGTTCCGCCCCTGAGCTGCAAACAGGCTGAAGTACTCATTGTAACGCATCTCTGGATCTAATTACATGAAGACAGGAAACTTACAGGTCAACAGATCAATTTGCCTATTGTCTCTGAAAAGCTGAATTTCTGTTGGACAAAGAGAAAGTTTTGTATCTTGGGTGCAATACCACATTTAAATGCACATTCTGTAATTCTGTTTTGGCTATATCTGCAGCAGTACCAGAAGCCCCAGTTGAGAAGAAAGTCCCATTGTTAAAAGCTGTGCATTCATATAGTAAGAGAATTTCTGCATCAGTGCTTACAATCTAACAATTAATCTGTTTTGCCTCTTCAGCTACATAGTTCTTTAAAGTTTAGGAAAGTTAAAGGCTAATCTTTCAAAATTTGTTTCATGGCCCCAAGTTGAACGCATGTATGAAACTGTAGAAGACTTAAATATGGAGAATGCTTAAAGAATAACTGAAAATCAATTATTGGGGGCCTGTTAATACTTTCATGATTAAAGATAATCTTGGGTTTTAAAAAAAGTTGTGTAAGTAAACAAAGCAGAACAGCAGGTTCTAACCTTTCTTTTTTGTTGGAGTTTGACAATGTCGTTGGAGGACCAGGATAGTTAAATCACAGAAACCTGAACTGCAGCTTTCCAAGCCCCCAGATATAAGATGTTAAATGAGGTCAACAAACTGTACAATCTATATTCTCATGGCTGCTTCAGTTTATCTCTGAAAGACCAAAATACTGGGGAGAGTAGGTGGCAAGATGAGAGCATAGTACTTCTGTATGTTGTTGCAGGCACCATCCTGTGGGTTTCAAGAGCTGCTGACCAGAGGAGTTTATGGAAGGCTCATTTTGCATTGAACTCTGTAAGGCTCTTGGATGACTTCACTTCATGCAAGTCTGAATGACGGTATCCCTTGACTCAAATGTCTAAATATTAAGCCTAGGAAGGGATTGGGGGGGATTTTCTTGCAGTTACAAGGATTTTTATGGAGCATTTCAGCAGAATGACCTTTTTCACCTTCTGATTTGCCAATTAATAGGAGACAGTTGTCCCTGGGTCAGAAAGATCAAGGAATGTGAAGATGTTGATCATTGTTTGAGACTTTTGGTGACACACAAATATACAGATATTCAGATTTTCCGTTGAACCCTGAATTTTAGTTAGTTGAATGACTGTAATGCTCTAATTCAGGCTTTGTTTAATAAAACTTTTAACATCCCAGTAAAAATGAGAAGTTACAAATAAAATAGGTGCAATCAATTAAATTCCAGCACCGCTCTGCTTTTAGCAGCTAGTAGTGGTTGGTGTCTCACCACAGCATTGCCTTCTGTTGACATCTTGATGATTTTGAAGGGACTTTGTCCTTCATGACATAATAGTATAAGGGTTCTTTAAACAATTCTTTAATAACTAGAAGTTAAGAATCTTCATCTCCTTTTAATACATGTTTTTACACAAGAGTGTGATCTAAATTGAATCCAAGTGCCTTTTTAATGACTGGTAATTTGTGGCTTTTAATTCCCAACAAAAAAATCCATTGTAACATTTTCTCCTAGTATATTACAAATTCTTTCTGTAACTTTTGCTAGTATACCTAATTTGGGATAGCCCATGAAAATGAATAGCTTTTCTCCCCAAAAGCCTGATGCCTCCAGCAGTGATTTTGATCACTTATTAATGAGCTAGACTGAATTCAGAGAAGAATACAATGGGATTGGTTTAAAAAAAAAAAAAAAAAAAAGGTTGCACCTGTAACAGTTCTTTATTTGGATAGGATTACTACAGGTTTAGAAAGGTTTGAGGCATTAAATTATGGGTCTAAATTAGCTGTTAGCACTCAAGAAAAGATCTTGAAGTCATCATGAATAGTTATCTGAAAACATCTGCTCAATGTGAAGCAGCAGTCACAAAAGCTAACAATGTTAGGAACCTTAGGAAAAGGGATAGGTAATAAGACCGTAAATATCATAATGCCACTATATACATCTGCTCACACCTTGGATACCGCATGCAGTTCTGGTCTCCCATCTCAGAAAATAAATTAGAAATGGAAAAGGTACAGAGAAAGGCAACAAAAATGATTAGGGGTATGGAACAGCTTCCATATGAAGAGAGATTAAAAAACGTGGCACTGTTGAGTTTAGAAAAGACACAACTAAGGGGCTGTGACAGAGTGTATCAGGCCCTTTGGGGTCCCCTGCAGGAAGCCTTGCTATCGTACCATGCAGAGCTTATTGTATTAGTGTCATGTATGATGGGACTATGATTCCATCCTCATGAGCCCTGTGAACAGTAAAACTGTTCTAATTCTGGTCTTTGTTCTCAAAATGTATCGTTATTTTCTTTAGAGTATAAATTTTTGAAGGTGTTACTGTTCTACAAAGCTTGTAAGAGGGGTGTTGATTGCACTTCCTGATTTACTGAATAACTTGTCTGGGGATACCTTTTTGTATGTAAAGGGTAATGGTGCGCTGCAAACTATTCTTAATAATTTGGAGGAGGCTGGGCCTATGAACACTGATAGAATTGCTAAAAATAAAACAGATGAAAAGAAGAATGGAGAAGTGATAAATAAGCAGATCATGACTCTGTAGTGGTGTCATAAATATAAAGGGAAGGCTAACCACCTTTAAATCCCTCCTGGCCAGGGGAAAAACCCTTTTACCGGTAAAGGGTTAAGAAGCTAAGATAACCTCACTGGCACCTGACCAAAATGACTAATGAGGAGACAAGATACTTTCAAAGCTGGAGGGGGGAGAAACAAAGGTTCTCTCTGTCTGCGTGATGTTTCTTGCCGGGACTAGAGCAGGATTGCAGGTCAGAACTCCTGTAAAGCGTTAGTAAGCAATCTAGTTAGATGCGCATTAGATTCTGTTTTGTTTAAAAGGCTCATAAAATAAGTTGTGCTGAATGGAATGTATATTCCTGTTTTTGTGTCTTTTTGTAACTTAAGGGATTTTGCCTAGAGGGATTCTCTGTTTTGAATCTGATTACCCTGTAAGGTATTTACCAGCCTGATTTTACAGAGGTGATTCTTTTACTTTAATTAATATTCTTCTTTTAAGAACCTGATTGCTTTTTTCATTGTTCTTAAGATCCAAGGGTTTGGGTCTGTGTTCACCTATGCAAATTGGTGAGGATTTTTATCAAGCCTTCCCCAGGAAAGGGAGTGTAGTGCTTGGGGGGATATTTTTTTGGCGGGGCGGGGGGGGAAAGACTTTTCCAAGTGGGCACTTCCCCTGTCCTTTGTGTAACACTTTGGTGGTGGCAGCTTTTAACCTAAGCTGGTAAGAATAAGCTTAGGGGGTCTTTCATGCAGGTCCCCACATCTGTACCCTAGAGCTCAGAGTGGGGAAGCAACCTTGACAAGTGGTAAGACTGAGTAACTTGTCTTTCAGTGAAGGAGTTATGTACTAATAAGCAACTTGTAAAAGCAAGTGTGTTTGACTCCACTTTATACTGACAGTATAAATTTATTTACAAAGAGCTAGCTATGCTCTGACCAGTTAAACTGTGAAAAGCTGCTGACATCACTTGTGGAAAGTAACATAACTTCAAAAGTGGTTTCTAACTCTGCTTTGGAAAGTTGGGGGTATTTGAGTTAACTTGACATAGCCAGTTTGCATGTGTGGTAGAATTGACATTGCACTTTGGACAGCAAATATTATAGTCGTGTGTGTCAAGTTATAACCCACAAACATAAATATATGGTTCTTGAAAATCACAAGCCACAAGTTTATAACACATTGGCAAGCTTAAATATATTTCTAAGATTTAAGTGTGCATTTTGTGAAAATGTATAAAAACTACATTGGCTCTGTATCCACAAAAGCCAATTGTTGTGATTCAGTCTGAAGGTGACAAAGGCATGAATAACTCTGGTGAGGTCCTCATTAGAATGAGGAGGTGGTCACCTTGCTGAGCTCAGTGCGAAATCACGTAAGGCAGCTTCTCCTATTTGGATATCAGAGTAGCAGAAAACAAGATTTTAGGTTGCCAACCTCACTAATAAATGACAATCGTACTACCTTGGTGAAGGGAGCTGAAATAACTTCTGTTTGACTTTCTGCTTGTTCCACCTAATTTCAGAATCAAATGGGCAGAAATGAAGTATGGTCATTCCAAAAGATTATGAAACTTTTAAACCATCAGACTGTGAAGTCACACTTCACTTAAGTTTTGTAGAGTTTTTTATTTTTATTTTTTTTAAAAGATACTCTTAACATCCTTCTTCCTGAGGAGCCAGATGACTCTAGTACTATGAACACAACTATACATGCAGAGGGAGGACGAACTTAGTAATAGTATAGACTTTAAATAGCTTTAGAAGACACCTCCCCCTGCCCCTAAAATACTCCTTTCCCTGCCTCCCATCCAAGATTGAATGGTCCTAAGGTCTGATGTCTAGTGCTGTATTTAACTGGAAAGCTATGAAGCTCAGGTCTCCAGTGATGAATGTTTCTAGATGTTGAGGTAATAGATCTTAAATTGGTCAGTAATGCAGGATTGAATAATGTAAATCTTGGACATCAGACCTGTGATCTCTGAAGGCTGAGATTTTCAAAGGAGCCTAAGGGATTTAATACCAAGATCCCATTTACATTTGATAATGGGTGCCAAACTCCCTTAGGTTTCTTTGAAAAGCCTATCTGTGATTTTTAAGGCTGTCCCCCCCCCCCCATATTTGTGAAAGAAATCTCTTTTATCGCAGACTCTTCAAAGAAAAAGGACTATTGGCAAATTCCTCCTAAATTTGGAGTTAGAAGTAGTCCTGCTTTGAGTGGTTTAGTGGGCATTGTGCAGATGAGAAGGTCAAAGGTACGCAATAGTATGCCTTCATATGTCAATCTACAGTTGATTGCATGAGAAGGAAAGATGGTCTTGAACTAAAGATATGGAACAGGGAGTCAGGAGACATGGCTCTTGCTCCTGGATTTGCCTCAGGTTTTGTGTGTAGCCTTGAGCAATTTGCTCTGCATCACCTTTAAAATAGGGGTAATACTAGCCTATCTCATGGGTGATGTAACAGGTTTCTTTTTAAGGTGCTATGAGAGCCTCAGATGGAAGGTCTTATCACAAATTTCATGATTCTGCAGCTTACTCCATGGTTGTCACAAATTCAGATATAAGCAGCCTAATATTTCCTTTCTTGTAAATGTTCATTATTACCCTAGGCTGTAACTTCAATACTGCACTAGATCAAATGAAAAAATGTATTAGTTGTACCTAAGCACACGTGTAAATGGGTCGAGTTCTTAGTGTTTTATGATTCCCATTTACTCTTTCGGCCTTCCTCTGTCACTGATAAACCAAACACTTTTTTACTTCATCATTGGGAAAAGCTGTTACTTGACAATAACTTTGATTCACTTGTTACCAAGATCTTTTATTTCCAGAAAACCTAGGTTAAAGTTTTTAAGCTTGCAAAGTCAAGCTCAAAAAAGTTAAATGTTTGAAATAATTTTGATTATACATAATTTGGCTTCCTGCTTATGCATTATAGGCTTCAGCTACATGATTGCAGTATTGCCAATCCCAAGTGTTGGAAAAAATCATGATTGGGTGAAAAAAGTTTTGGGCTTTTATTTACGTTTGGGTTTTGAGTTTTTAAGGTACAATTGGGTCATGTGTTCAAGCTTTTCTCTGCAAACCTGAGAGCTAGAAACTTTAAATGAGAGCTGAAAACCTACATGTAATTGCAGGATTCCAGGATCTGGGGCTTTAAGAAACACCAAATATCATGCAACTTGTCATAAAACGAATTGGTAGCGCTGTGGTTATACACTGTTTTTTTCATGGGATTCCCTCAGCACACTTCTAGATATGGAGGGCTTTCATATACTGGGAACTGAGGCCCTCAGACCAAAACTTGCAAGTCTCTGCTAATCTTGTGTGCCTACTGATTGGTTGCCAAACTTGAGGCCTCAGAGATCAATTTTTCAAAGTTCTTAATGTGACCAATAGGGCAATTTCCTGCAATTTCCTTGAAAGACCATATAGTATTAAGTTTATGTATTATTGTGTGCCAGGATTGCATGTAATATCAATAGTGGGGAGATGTAACAGATGGAAGACCTGAGAGTTCAAAAGACTGTATTGAAAATGTCTCAGATGAATATGGAATTTTTGGACAATAAGTGGGTTCCCTGGGGAATCTTTAGGGAGAGAATAATGGAAATTATCCAATTCCAGTTATGAAAAACCCCCAGCTTTTACTATCTATGCCCTGAGACGAGGGTCTTTGTCTGCGGATTATCTGTTACAGAAGGCCAAGTTCGAAGGCCCAAGCTTTATAAAGAAACAGCTGATTTGCCCAGCCTTTGTTCTTGTTCTGGATCTAAATTGAATATGAACTCGTAACCTTGGGGAAGACTCATCTGTGGGTTTTGAAGGACTAAAACCTACCTGAGCCCTAGGCTGGGGTTGGGGGTCACTTCTGGTAAGATTTTTAGTATGTGTGTAGGAACTCTTACTGGTGGTTTTTTGTTTTTGTTTTTCTCATGCTTTTATCTTCAGAATAAATGTGCTTACTTGGAAGGAATTGTGTGGTAATTTATAACTGTAGGCAATACAGTGGTTATAGCCTTATGAGAGAAAGCAAAGCGCAGGTGCTGGCCTGTTTTAGGCAGTCTGCCTTGCTGGGGATATCACAGTGTAAGGCAGGGAGTTGTGCAGTCTGAAAATCCCTGGTCAGGAGGGTGAGAGACACTAGTCTGCACCCACGAGAAGTGGCTGGTGGGAGCTGGAAGCCTTAAGTGAGTGCCCTTGCTGGAACATGCCAGGGGAAAACAGGTTCATTTGCCCTGAAACTATGACACTTAACATATATTTTCATAGTACTTTACTGATGGGAAACTGAAACAAAGGTAAAGTGCATTGCCCAGCATCATGTAAAAGGGCTATGAGAGAAACAGAGGTAGGACCTAGTTGTTCTGAGTGATATTCTATTTCTGGGGGAATTCTGTGTCTCTGCACATACGCAGAATTCATGTTCCCTGCAGATTTCTTTGCTTCCCTGTAGAAAAATGACTTCTGATGGGAAAGCAAAGAGAAGCTGCGGGAGAGGTCATGTGCCCCTCCCTGGCAGCACAGGCAGGTTGGCTCGGGTGCTGGAGCAGCCGGCAGAGGCGTAAATCACTGCCTGGGGGTGTGTATGTGGGGGGGGAGTCGTGAGAGAGAGAGAGACTCTGTCCCTCTCACTCGCTATTGCAGCACAGTCAACATGGAGGGGCAGGGCTTCCGGGTGTTTCTGAGGAGGTAGGCATGGGGCAGGCCCTGTCCCTTCTGTTCTGGCTGCTTAGTGAATTGTTCCCATTGTCTTTGTGAATTCCCACAGGAGTATAAAACAGGTATAAAAATTTTAGGGCTCCTTCACATTGGCAGAGGGGTGTAAAGGACAGTATGGCCTTATAAATGCTTACAGTGGTTTCGTGATTAGAACTGGTCTACATTTTTGGACTGAAAAAATTTCCTATCAAAATGTGCTCCGTGAACTGTTTGCTACTGATCTTTCTGGAGATGGTCAGTAGCCAGTATAAATTGTGAGTTTGATTCTCCAGCCCTCACTTGCTCTTCAGTTACCTATGATGTAGCACTGAGCGTATGGCTGCATACATTTGTTGACTAATAACCTAGAAATAAAGGGTCAAACCTAGTACATTACTGTTTGGGAATTTCCTCCATTGCTTCCTATTCTCCATCCATTGTATTGTAGTTTAAATAAGTTACGAAAATAATTGAAACCAGAGTGATTATATTGTGTTGTTTTGATAAAATATGCAGAATTTTGTAGAATTTTAAAATATTTTGCACAGAAACTTGATTTTTTTTTGGTGCAGAATTCCCTGAGGTGTAGGTATTCAACTGCTTTAACCCTATGACCATCCTTTCTCTTTTTGCAGTCCTCTGTCTCATTCGATATACTAGTTTCAACTTCTACAACAGATGAGACAGAAGTTCAACAGACAACAGCCTGCTTCCCTACACAACACTGATTTATTCCCTGAGCAGCATCCATCCTGTCCACTGAATGAAGCAAGGGTCCTGTGGAAAAAATAGTATGTGCTCTGTAATTACAGACTCTCATAATTCATAGCAAGTGGTGGGGGGCTGGTGGTTAGTGAATTGAAGTTAAACAAGTAAGCTTTATTCTAGTTGTCCTAATGTATTTGATTTTTCAATCCTTAACTTTTTTTACACTTTCTATATGTAATTTACTTGGTTTTTTTTAAAGGTAAAATAAAGAGAATTATGTGCAAATACCCCTCCAGAATCAGCAGCGTTGGAACTCTGGGCTTCCAACATTGCAGCACAGATTACTAGCACCTGTGCTAAGATATTAATTACAAATGCTGACAGAAGGAATAACCTGTTACCATTTGTGCATCACCCACTAAGAGATGCTGTTGCATAATACGCCATAACAGTAGGTTTTATATGCCTGAATAGCCCCATTTTAAACAGCATAGCAGATAATTAAAGTTGGGGCAACTTTTTTCCATTGGGACATTGGGTATGTCTATTCAGCATTCCAGAGCGAGCGGGAGTGAGCCTCCTCGCTCAGGTTGGCAGACTCGGACTAGAGGGGCTTGTGCTAGTTCTCTGAAAATAGCTCTATAGACGAGCTCTGAAGTTGTGCTCCAGATGTTGAAGCCCACCCTACTCTGGGGATTGCAGAGCCTGAGCTGCAACTTCAAAGTGCTGACTCTATAGTTCTTTTTAGAGCACTAGAGTGAGCCGTGCTACACAGTCTGTCAATGTGGGCTGGGAGGCTTGCTCCTGCTCGCTCCAAAACGCTGAGTAGACATACCCATTGTATCTGAAGTGACTGGGACTTAGGTCTGTCATATTAGAGAGTTGTTCTATTCCCAGTTGTATAACCTCTCAGTGGGATAGGAGGCTTTGTTCAGTTAGTAGTGAGGTAGGTAGGACAATCACAAGTTGGTAAACATTAAATTCGAACACATGATTTCTGGGTTCCCAGTCTATTGTACCTTAGCCTAGTACAAAGCCTATTTTGATAAATCAGTTGCACATTTTTTTTCTTATTTGGAGCCGTGGTTTGGCTGGAATAAGACACGGTGCTGGCAGAATTATAGAGGTTTTTGGCAGCAAACTGGGAGCAAGCTGTACAGGTCAAATCATTGGTGGAAAATTACCATCTTAATTTAGCTCCAAAACTTGCCCAAAGCTGGATTGGTTTTATGCTGCCAGCAAGTTTCAAGCTATTGCTGCAGTGCATGGAGGAAATAGAAGTCTCTCCCCCGCCTGCAAATTGGTTGGAGGAATTATTAAAAGTGTTACGAGCTGTAACTCACGAAAGCGTATGCTCAAATAAATTTGTTAGTCTCTAAGATGGCACAAGTACTCCTTTTCTTTTTGTGAATACAGACTAACACGGCTGCTACTCTGAAATCACCATAGTTGCTGCTGCTTTAAAATACATATATGTATGTTAAAGATGCAGTTGCCTAATAGAGTGCCTTATTGTGAGGATTTAGAGGAACAGCTGTGTTAGTCTGTATTCGCAAAAAGAAAAGGAGTACTTGTGGCACCTTAGAGACTAACCAATTTATTTGAGCATGAGCTTTCGTGAGCTACAGCTCACTTCATCAGATGTATACCGTGGAAACTGCAGCAGACTTTATATACACACAGAGAATATGAAACAATACCTCCTCCCACCCCACTGTCCTGCTGGTAATAGCTTATCTAAAGTGATCAACAGGTGGGCCATTTCTAGCACAAAGCCAGGTTTTCTCACCCTCCACCCCCCCACACAAATTCACTCTCCTGCTGGTGCTAGCCCATCCAAAGTGACAACTCTTTACATAATCAAGTCGGGCTATTTCCTGCATAGATCCAGGTTTTCTTTATTGTGAGGAGTTGTGCTCAGTTTAATACAGTGTCTGTAACTCTAGCATTAAGGCTATATCCTCAGTGGGGAAAAAAGGGTGTGTTTTATAAATGGTGATAGTTAACACACCATATTTTGCTGTGAAGACATCGGAAGTACTTAGGTCAAGTGTCTGGCCAAGAATTTGAATTTTGTCTTATTTCTCAACCTACAAATAAATTCTTTGTAGGTGATACACTACAAAACTTGTCAAGTCCATTCATGTTCTGTCGCGATCGTTTCTTCTTTGTTCATCACCATGTCATTTTTATTTCTTTGTCACGTTGAATGTCACTAAATCTAATTATGACTTTCTTTAAACAGTGTTACCAGCCAGGATCATAGGAGTAAACTAAAATATCCCTTAACCTAAGAATCATAAAAGTCTATTCAAAGTAGATGTAAATGCATCCTGCACTAGATCTGGCCCCTTGAGCATGCTAAGCCACAGTATTGAGTAAAACCTGGTGTTGACTTAGTAGTAGATAGAAATTTAATAAAATCTATGTATCTGATCACACAGTGAGTCTCACAGGAGATTTATAGAGAAGTGATATGCTCCTACCATCTGTTTGTTCTTTGTTTTGTCTTACCTGACTGCTGATGTTACTACTAAGGTCTGTCAGGTTTTTTTTTTTTTTTTTTTAAACCTGTGTTTAAGGGTTTAATACCTTAACCATTTCAAATAGCCTGTGGCTGAAGATTAGGCCTGTTTATACGTATTTTGTTTTACTTAACAAAAGTTACATTGGTTCAACTGTTTGAAGAATCCGATAAAAATTTACCTCCCTGAGGGTTTCTGATGTTTGACTGTTTATGTTCTGTTGCCAATTCAGAGAGTAGCATGAAGTGCGCTAGATAAACTTACAGAGGATAGGTCCATCAGTGGCTATTAGCCAGGATGGGCAGGGATGGAAAACCATGCTCTGAAGTGTCCCTAGCCTCTGTTTGCCAGAAGCTGGGAATGGGCAACAAGGGATGGATCACTTGATGATTACTATTCTGTTCATTCCCTCTGGGGCACCTGGCACTGGTCAGTGTCAGAAGACAGGATACTGGGCTAGATGGACCTTTGGTCTGACCCAGTATGGCCAGTATTATGTAAGTTGGATGTTTTAACTTGCATAAAATAGTAAATATTGCCCATATTTCAAACTGGGCTTGTCTGAAACATGGCATGGAAGCAGTTACTCAGGAAGCCATATTAAGACTTAGTTACATGGCAGTGACTACTTATCAACCATTTTACTACAAAATTATTGAAGTCAACAGGAGCTGTTGAGTTCTCAGCACCCATAACAAATCAGGCCACTTAAGAGCTGTCTAATGGGCCTTTGCTTGGGATATTCAAAGGAGCTTAGGTACCCAACTGCCTGAGGCCCCTTAAAAATACTAGCCTAGGAGCCTAACTTTACCAGTTTTCTAAAATCTTGGCCATCGTGTAACAGTACTGTTGAGATATTAGTGAAAAGTTTTTACCTACTATCTTAATGATTTTATTCTGCTGTCCATCAAACAAGAAATGTGTGTAAGTTAATGATGGTGTCTCTCTTAAAAAAGAAAACCCTGCAGTATTGAGTGAAGAACTGAGAGAGTCCCAAGAGTGAAGAACACTCTAAGGTCTGAAGCTTTGAATACAAATTTATTTTCCAGATGCTTTCATATTCACACCTTCTGCTTGCCTCTTAAGTGTACGTTAAGAGTTGTGCTGCTGTGCAAGTTATTTCTGGTCTCATTAGGAAATTGACAAAGTACGTTTATGTCAATAGAGTGCACCTAAGCTGTGAACTTCATCTAATATACAATACTAGGAAGAAATCAGTAGTCTACCTCAGGCACTTAAGTCCTCCCTAAAGTAATTGTGAAAAGCATCTTTGTTACAGTTTTAAACATGCTTCTTCAGGCAACAAGTGTGGTCTGCTTTTGCACCAGATTAAAAATTAATTGTGTTTTATGGGAGAATATTCTTCGTTTCCACCACACTTGAAAAATACTTGTCTCTCTTTGTGCATGTGAAGGCACGTTAATTAAACTTAGAGGGGTCCTGGGACTTCATGTTCTGGCCTTTCTATGATGTGGTAAGAGGTGTATGTTGATGTTAACGGTTATATGTGGAGATTTAAACGTTTTGTATGTCATATCCTGTCCTCTTTTCCCTTTTAGTGAAGAGAACTTGAGACCGATTTTTGGAATACTGTTTGTAAATTTTTTCAGATGAGGAGACCCAGCGCTTAAATTGGATGGAAACTCAAATACTGGAGAAACTAGGGTAGGTTTATTCATCCTTTTAGGGTATAGCTTGTTGGACTTGATTCACATTACTGTACAGATGACTGGCAATCCCTGAGACATTTCAGGGGAATCAGTTTAGCTCAGTGTTAATGAACAGTTATTTCTGCTTAATTGGAATAGTATTAGCTAAGGGTAAGTTTAGACAGCAATAAAAGATCCGCGACAACTGATCTGGGTCAGCTGACTCACGCTGGAGCTGCGGGGCTATGAAATTGCAGTGCAGACTTCAGGGTCAGGCTGGACCCCAGGCTCTGAGACCCTCCCCTCCTTGCAAGGTTTCGGAGCCTGGGGTCTAGCCTGATCTCAAACTTCTACACTGTAGTTTTATAACAGCCCTAGCCCTGTGAATCCGAGTCAGCTCTGAGACATGGTGGCATGGTTTTTTTTAAATTGCAATGTAGTCATACTCTAAAGTTCTAAATAGGGATTTGTTTAGTCAATATGAAGTGTTTAAATGATTACCCAGTCTAAACTGCAGGTTTCTGATCGCTTAAGGTTCAGTTGTGGCTGTAAGTGCAGACCATTAACTCCAATCACCAAGTTTAAATCCGTGGCTGACTTCCCTTAAGCTTTCCAGAAAAATCCTGTATTAAAGGAACTCTTCATGCTTATTATCAGGTGTATTCATTAGGTTTTCCTGAAGGTTTTTGTTTTTTGCAGGGAGCAATTAGGTTTTCTGATGGAATGAATTAAAATGGATTTGTCTTGTGTTTTTATTAATTTAGTATATTTTAAGGATTTTCAGTTTTATAAAAATGGCATCTTCTCTTAATTGGGAAAAGATATGTAATAGGATGTCTTAATTAAGAGGATTTTATGGAATGAGCATTTATTTTAAATCTTGGTGGAGCACCTTGATCCTGTTCACAAACCCCAAACTATCTTAATCCTGTTCACTTAAGTCTATTGTGTGAGAACCGCCAGACCATTTACTTTGTGCTACAAACGTCATACTTATTGGAAGAAAGCTCTTTAAAATAAGGCTAGTGTGTATTTCCTCATTTCTGCTGTCCTCTGACTTGTAGGTGAATTATGTACCCACTTGCCTGTACTCTACACTAACACCCTTCCTGTATCGTAGGGTATGAGGCTCAAGGTGGTAGAGAGTAAATACTTGTATTCTGATGGTGCCTGAAGTCCCAGGGACCTATTTTGCTGGGGAAACACAGCGAATAAGACAGTCCCTGCCCCAAAGACTGCCCTGAAACACTTGAGAAGAATGTAGCTTTCTAGAGAGAGAGCGAGCGAGTGAGCCCTACTGAATGTTTTAGGGCTGCATTCAATGACCTATATACTGGTGTTCTTTCAGTCTTGGCCAGAGAAGACAGGTGGATTTGCTTTGAAATGGTTTGTATTAAAGTAAGGTATCTACTCTTTTAACTCAGATCACTTAGTAGTCACCTGAGGAACATTCCTTATATGATCAGCTTTTCAGCTTAATTATTTAGCTAATAATTTATCAGTGCTCAGGAGAGAAGTAGGTACTCTGACCAACAAAACAGATGGTGGACTGTTACTGTGGCATAGAAATGAGAGCAGCTCAGATTTTTAAATCTTGAAAATCATTACAATACTGATCTTCCCAAGAACCGGTGAGAACTGAACTGCTAATGATCTCGTTTCTGTGTCCGAGATCACAACCAATTAATCAACTGGAATGCAATGGGCTTGGAATTGAAATGGATTCCTTACAACTTTGTTTTGTACAGAAAGTCTTTGTAGCTCTGATTACTGAGGATTTTGATTGGGTCATAATTGTTTCAAGTACTGTCAAAATACAGCACAGCGTACGTCTTTTAAAAAGTGTATGTTGCTATTGTGTTCGGCACCTCTCAGGTTCAGGTGCCTGGTATGAAGCTGGTTTTGACTGCATTAGAAGAGCATGCATGTGGGCTTGCATGACTGGGCTTTTAGTCTCTTCTTTCCCCAGATCTGCAGAAAATGAATCTATTAGCAGCTTATATGCTTGCTTTATAAAGTTGGTGGTTTGGTGCCCTCCACTGGAGCTATTATTTTTCTGTTGAGTTGTTAAGAGTACTACTTAAATTTTTGAGAATTTAAAAAATAAGGCTAGCATAATATATATTTCTGTACATATATATGAAGCTTGTACACCATACCCAACAACTTTATGCAGAATTACATGAGTCACATTTCAGAGGGGTAGCCGTCTTAGTCTGTATCAGCAAAAACAACAAGGAGTCCTTGTGGCATCTTAGTGTAAGTCTACACTACGAAATTAGGTCGAATTTATAGAATTTGGTTTTGTAGAAAGCGTTTTTATACATTCGATTATGTGTGTCCCAACACAAATGCTCTAAGTGCATTTAGTCGGCGGAGTGCGTACACAGTACCTAGGTAACGGTTGACTATCCCACAGTTCCTGCAGTCGTCTCTGCCCATTTGAATTCTGGGTAGAAATCCTAATGCCTGATGGGGTAAAAACATTGTCGCAGGTGGTTCTGGGTACATATCGTCAGGCACGCCCTTCCCTCCCTCCTTCCGTGAAAGCAACGGCAGACAATCGTTTCATGCCTTTTTTCCTGGGTTACCCGTGCAGATGCTGTACGCTGCTCAGCTCACCGTCACCGTATGGCTCCTGGGTGCTGGCAGACACGGTACTGCATTGCAACACAGCAGCAGCTCATTGCCTTTTGGCAGTGGACAGTGCAGTATGACTGGTAGCCATTGTCGCCATACTCCAGGGTGCTCTTTTAGCCGACCTCGGTGTAGTCGGTCAGCAACGCCTGGGAAAACATGGGAGTGACTCAGCCAGGTCTTTTCCCTTTTAAGTTTCGTCTCATGGTGATTCAGTCCTGCCAGCAGTCATACTGCACCGTCTTCTGCCGAGAACCCAGGAGATGATGATGGCCAGCAGTCGTACTGCACCATCTGCTGCCAACAAGATCTATACAGTTAGATGAAGTGGATCAAAATAAGAAATAGACCAGATTTGTTTTGTATTCATGTTCTCCTTCCTCCCTCCCTCCCTCTGTGAAATCAACGACCTGCTAAACCCAGGATTTTGAGTTCTATCCTTGAGGGGGCCATTCTGTTTCTCCTTGATGCAAAGCCACCCCATTTGTTGATTTTTAGTTCCCTGTAAGCCAACCCTGTAAGCCATGTTGTCAGTTGCCCCTCCCTCCGTCAGAGCAACAGCAGACAATCATTTCGCGCCTTTTTTCAGTGCAGATGTCATAGCACTGGGAACATGGATCCCGCTCAGATCACCTAGGCAATTATGAGCACTATAAACACCGTGCGCGTTATCCAGCAGGATATGCAGAACCATAACCTGCAAGAAAAGCAAAACCAGGCGAGGAGGAGGCAACTGCAGTGCAGTGACGAGAGTGATGGGAACATGGACATAGACTTCTCACAAAGTACGGGCCCCTGCAGTGTTCACATCATGGTGTCAGTTGGGCAGGTTCATGGCATGGAATGCCGATTCTGGGCCCGGGAAACAAGCACAGAGTGGTGGGACCGCATAGTGTTGCAGGTCTGGGACGATTCCCAGTGGCTGCGAAACTTTTGCATGCGTAAGGGCACTTTCATGGAACTTTGTGACTTGCTTTCCCCTGCCCTGAGGTGCAAGAATACCAAGATGAGAGCAGCCCTCACAGTTGAGAAGCGAGTGGCAATAGCCCTCTGGAAGCTTGCAACGCCGGACAGCTACTGGTCAGTCGGGAATCAATTTGGAGCAGGCAAATCTACTGTGGGGGCTGCTGTGATCCAAGTAGCCAACGCAATCACTGAGCTGCTGATATCAAGGGTAGTGACTCTGGGAAATGTGCAGGTCATAGTGGATGGCTTTGCTGCAATGGGATTCCCTAACTGTGGTGGGGTGATAAACGGAACCCATATCCCTATCTTGGCACCTGAGTACCAAGGCAGCAAGTACATAAACTGAAAGGGGTACTTTTCAATGGTGCTGCAAGCACTGGTGGATCACAAGGGACGTTTCACCAACATCAATGTGGGATGACCAGGAAAGGTACGTGACGCTCGCATCTTCAGGAACTCTGGTCTGTTTCAACAGCTGCAGCAAGGGACTTACTTTCCAGACCAGAAAATAACCTTTGGGGATGTTGAAATGCCTATAGTTATGCTTGGGGACCCAGCCTACCCCTTAATGCCATGGATCATGAAGCCATACACAGACACCCTGGACAGTAGTCAGGAGCTGTTCAACTACAGGCTGAGCAAGTGCAGAATGGTGGTAGAGTGTGTATTTGGGTGTTTAAAAGTGCGCTGGCGCAGTTTACTGACTTGCTTAGACCTCAACGAAACCAATATTCCCATTGTTATTACTGCTTGCTGTGTTCTCCACAATCTCTGTGAGAGTAAGGAGGAGACGTTTATGGCTGGGTGGGAGGTTGAGGCAAATCACCTGACCGCTGATTACGCACAGCCAGACACCAGGGCGGTTAGACACCAGGGAAGAGTACAGGAGGGTGTGGTGCACATCAGAGAAGCTTTGAAAACCAGTTTCAGGAATGGCCAGGCTATGGTGTGAAAGTTCTGTTTTTCTCCTTGATGGAACCCCCCTGGTTTCACTCTACTTTCTTGTAAGCTAAGTACCTTCCCCTCCCCACTTCGATCACCGCTTGCAGAGGCAATAAAGTCATTGTTGCTTCACATTCATGCATTCTTTATTTATTCATTACACAAATAGGGGGATAACTGCCAAGGTAGCCTGGGAGGGATGTTGAGGAGCGAAGCACCGGGTGGGGTGGTGGAGGAGGGAAGGACAAGGCCACACAGCACTTTAAAACTTATTGAATGCCAGCCTTCTGTTGCTTGGCCAATCCTCTGGGGTGGAGTGGCTGGGTGACCGGAGGCCCCCTCACTGCATTCTTGGGCATCTGGGTGAGGAGGCTATGGAACTTGGGGAGGAGGGCAGTTGGTTACACAGGGGCTGTAGAGGCGGTCTGTGCTCCTGCTGCCTTTCCTGCTGCTCAACTATATGCTGGAGCA